ATAAAATCCTAATTACGGAACCAAGTCTAATTTTTAAACAAGCCTAAACACGAACTAGAATTCAACTTCTTTTAAAAAAACTCGCATCTTAAAATGGACTTATTAAAATGAATTCAACCTTTTTTAGAAGAAAGAAAATTAATAATATGGTCATGCAGGAGCACTCCACACGAGCTTTTGACCAGTACATCAAACATAGTTGGCTTGGAAAAGTCCATAAAGCCCTCTTCTCCCTCGATGTAGACTTGGCTTAGCTAAGAACTAAAAGAGAGCTGTCACAAAAAATGATACATGGCCGCATGCCATGCTCCAAAAATTTAGAGGCCCGAGGCCTCTCCAACACTTTGTCCTCCACGAAAACGAGTGAAGCTTTCGTTGAAGAGAACCAGGGAATATGCAACTATGATTTATGTGCTCATAGTCCATAAGTACTGACAGTTGCATTTATTTGATTGTTACAAGGTGGTCAAAATTAATATTGACCATTGGATTTTGAGTGGCTGCATTTATTTCATTGATCAAGCTCAAAGTTCAAAAAAATTTAACTCGAAGTTTATGACATACCAAAGCTATCAAATTTCATGTCAGGCGGTTAAAAATAATTGTGACGTCAATGTACCAAATGTAAATGGTCTCATGGTATACAATCCTTTATTATTATCATTTTGCTAGTTGTTATCCAATAATAGGATGGGATGACTCAAATTTCACTCAAAAATATTTTTTAAAAAATAAAAAATTAGATAATATTTTGGCATGACATGAGCCATCTTAGCTATCAATTCAAATCAAACGGCTAAGAATTGGGGTTACATATAATTTATATATGGGTGGGGTCACATAGAAAGCTTTCCCTTTAAGTTATAATTATTATAATTTTATATTAGTAATTATTATGATTTTATAGTATAAGAATACTAACTTAGATTTTTTTAAAAAATAACTATCAAAATATAGTAATAAAAAAATCATATAAGGTGGAAAGCCTTCTTGTAGAAATAAAGTTGTAGTAATCGATACCATTCATTTTAATTAGGCAGTATAATCTTGACATTGTCTTAAAAAAAATGTCAAAATTTGGAATTGTTCTATGAATTTTTACACAATGAGACCATTTATTCATAGTAAGGAAGTCACAATCAACCGATCATATGTCAAATTTAAGGGAAAATTATAGATGCCCCCAAAATGAACTTTATAAGCATTTCATTTCCCAATACTTTTTAATATCACACTATAAACTATTTTTTTTTGTTTTTACCTCAATAAAAAAGTAAATTATTTAAAAACTAAACTACCCTTTCCCTCTCAATCTCTCTCTTACTCTATCCACCTCTCTCTATCCACCTTCTCTCTTTACCTGCCCCCCTCTGTCTTTCTCTCTCTACTCACCCAAGTTTGAATCTTTAATATGTCGTCTTCACATATCCGATTTTTTACTATTTTTTTTTTTCCCAAATCCAAAATATTCACAATTTTATAACTTTTTTTCTTTTGGCGATTTATATTTTTTACCGGAATTTTTCCCGTGGCTTTTTGAAATAAAATCGATTGAATATATTACTAGTCCATGACCTGATAACTATGGTATGACCGAGGGCGGTCCAAGAGTTTCACTGTCAAGGGTACAAATGAGTATTACAATGATTCTCATTCATTATTTTAATTTTCGTTTTTCAGTTTTTGCAAAACAAAATATTGATTTCCACTCATCTTCGACCTCTTCCTAAACACCCAAAAATTTGTGAAACTTGACTCTCAGTCTCTCTAATTTTTATTTTATACAAGAGAGAGACAAACTTGCCCTTTCAATATAGGGTTAGAACAAAAAAAAAGAAAGAAAATTCCAGGAGCCCATGATGGAAATATCCGGAGTCCTGAATGGAGGAAGTGGTTCTAAACAATGCAAAAATAAAGAATAAACCTAAAATTAAGATGTCCATTACCAAAAGGAAAAAGTTTATATAAGGATGCAACCTTATAATGTAGAACTACGGATGTACCTAAAAAATCCATCAAAAAAGGTAGTTTTAATTTTGAAAAACCCTTTGATTGATCATCTCGACATTGAGATGTATGACCATGAAAAATACAAAGATTTTAAAGCTCATAAATAGTGCATTTTACAACATATTATCTACACCGTTTATTTTCAAGATTTTCATATGTTTATAGATCTACTTGATTTTAACCATTTTTAAAATTTAAAATTTTATAATTAGATATAAAAATAGATTTTGAGATAATCTTAACAAAATATTACATCAAAATTATATACCGTGATAAAATTTTGAAGGTGCACCATACCTCTACAGCTACGGATGCTTCCGAATGCCAACGGCACCCTTACCAAAATGAAGGTAGCTAAAGTTGCTCCTTCTGGTAATTTACAATACTTGGAAAGTGTAAGCACCATTTATTAGATGGTAAAATTCTTCTCAGGACTGTTCTCTCAAATCCATGAATGTGAAGACATTTATTCAGTCTCAATCAAAACAGTCTTATTTACTTGGTGTGCTAAAATGTACTTATGTAGGCTTCAGCATGTTTGGTTAAAGTGTTGACAAGTGATTGGAAAGGTGGACTACGGTCCGATCCCGGGGCTCCTGGTTCTACACTAACTTTTTCGAGTGGGAATTGGGAATTGGGAACTTTTAACAAAGAAAAGTAAGAAAAAAAGATTCAAAGGGGGAGGACTGAAACAATTTTATTGTTTCATTTCATCCGTTTTACTGAGAATTCTGATATGGGATAAAATATTTTAGTCCGAGCTGGCTTCGTGATTTTTTAATCACTCATTTCGACAACTGGAAATAAACACTACATTCTTTTACCTAAATCATAATTCCCTTTTTTTTAAAATAAAAAAAGAATAATGTATTTTTAGAATATTACTCTTTGTCATGAACATTATTTAATGTTTTCTTTAGGTAAATGTAGTTAGCTTTTTTGATTGGGTTGGTTTGCCCACCCATATTTTACATATTGGAAAAGTTTGGATGTGGTCCAATTCAAATGTAGTCCCTTTCTAAAAGCCCATCTCATAGAGGATCTGAAGACATCTTTAATCGCTCTTGATGCATTATCGGTTTTATATTCATATTTTGCAACTCAAAAATATAAATAAGAAAAAGAAAATAAAAACTAGTCCAAAACTAATCATTTGTATAAGGAAAATTGTTTCATGCAGGTTGGGCCGCATTTCTACAATATGCGGTCCAGAAGTATAAAGCATCCATATTAAAGATAGATGCAAATAGGTGGTTCATCTAGAAACAATTGTAACTAACGGTCCAAATTTTTTCTTAATATAATTATTATTTAGAAAAATAGTCTCTACCCCCCTCCTTGGGTTCACAAAAATCTCTCGTACCCTCTCAAGTTTAAAATTTTGGGGTTATGCTTTTCTTTGTTCTTTTTACAAATTAGATATTTTATTTTACAACCTTCTTTCCTTTCTCTTCCATTGCCTAAAACCAATCTTACCTCTGTAGACCCTGCTCTATGAATTTAGACATGAAAAAAAACTGATTTTTTTTTAAAAATATAATGACGTATCTTTTGAACTTGGAAATTGATTAATCAAGATCTTTATTACTATTGTTAGTGAATTATTATTTATTTATTTAAGTAAAGAAAATTTTCAAAATACTTATAAGAGATGAAATATTTAATAATTAAATATTATTATTGTTATTAATGTAATTATTATTGTTATTAATATAATTATTATTAACTATAATAATAATTATTATTAATTATAATAATTATTATCATCATCATCATCATCAATAAAATTTGTATATCAAGTCACAAAAAAAAATTACATATGACTATTGTATGGGTTTAGCCTTTTGTGATCATATTTGTAAAAAAACAAAAAAAAAATATAAGTACGAGGCTAATGGTCTCAAAGTATTAAACTTGAGGGGGTACAAGGGATTTTGGTGATCCTAAGGGGCTAATAGGGATGAAAATTTAGGGGAGGGAGGTAGAGGCCATTTTCACTTATTAGTTTTAGTTTTCAATTTTTTTTTTTTCATATTCATGATCTCTATGTTAAAGGTTATATATACTCTAAAAATTAGGATTAAATTATATTTAAAAAATATATTTATTGCCAAACCCACATTTCTACGATATGCAGGCTGGCCGCATAGAAACGATGTCCTTTGTATAAAGACTAAAGACCAAAATTAACCATAAAAAAAAATAAAGTTGAAATAAACAATAGGTTTCAAAATCTTTCTCCTTTTCTCAAATTTATTATCATAGTATTCGATATTAATGACTAGTTATGCTCTGACTACATTTGGATTTGCCCAGGGGATATACCCGTAGTCATATAAATTTGCGTGACCAATTCATGCTCTCAGTAGGAATCGTGTGTTGGGCTTGGCCCAGGGCCGGTCCTATGCCCATGGGCCTGGCCCTGCCCTATGCAGGCCGGGCCAAATAAAATTAAATAAAAAACTAAAGGTAAAAGCTAAAAAAATAAGGCCAGGCCTGGCCCAAACCGGGTTGGTTGTGGGCTCTGCCCTAGATTTTTAGGGTCGGACTGACTGGGCCAGGCCATCCGGCCCTGTCGGCATTCGTAATTCCAAGTTCAATTCATAATGTTAAACTACCGAAAAATAAAAACAAAATATAAAATCAATGCTCTTAACATTCATGATGAGTGTGCTACCACAAGCTTTGTACACTTTCTACTTCAATTAATAAAAAGTGTTACTAAAAAAAAAAAAACAGAGATAGCATAGATGAAAAGCAAGTTGGAGCCATGGGCAAGCATTCTATACATAATAGTTATCCCTTTACCTAGCCTTCAGACCTAGCCGTCAGATCTGAAAGATCTAGGTCAAACCGTCAAAGGCTTATTTGATCTAAATTGGACATCTAGATGTGTGGAGAAGGATAGAACTTTTATACCGTAGGGAAAGTATAGAACTTCTATACAGTAGAGGAAGTATATAAACCTTTCCTTGAGCAATTGGTACACGTTATGGGGTATCTCTTCCTGGGGTGGGTGCACTATGATCATCATGATCTAAGGGTGTGAGTGGCACAATGGCAGAGGCATCTTCCTCAGATGCTGAGGAGCTACGAGTTGGTGTGGTTGCTTCAGTAATGCTCAAGGGGCTCTCCATATTTGCTACGGCAACATCTCTATTGAGCTCCACTTCTTTTACTCTCTTTCTTTGGCTAAAAGTTTGAGAAGGATGATCCCTCTCATTAAAGACTCTACCCATGCCATTCATCTGTTGCCATAGACCCTGTTCATCCACTCCAAAGCGATTGTGATTCTTAATCCACAAGCAAATAGAGAACCAAATTAGGGCTCCAATGGATGCAATCCCTACAATGAGGAAGAGGACCCAAAAGCAATCAAGGGTAAGACCAGTTGAAGTAGTTGCAGGTGAAGAAACTGGTTGTATTATATTTTTGCCAAACCAAGCCCTTTCGATGGCCTCCATCTTGTCTCCTTCCGTTACGTTGAGGACTGCGGCGGAGAAATCGGAAAGTAGTAAGGAGTTTTTGGGGAGGACCTGGGGACCCAGAGGAACAAGTGCAAAGATGGTGATTTGGAGTACCATGGACATCACACAAATTGCTAATGATAATCTCATAATTTTATAAGCAAATTTCCAATAATTAGGCAAGCTTCTATAAGATTTTATTTATTTGTTTATTTTTATCATTAGGCAAGCTCCATGCAGGAACAATTTATCTTTATTTTCTAGATATTATTTGTTCCTAAGGAAATTTAGTGGAAAAACCTTTTTTTTTCCATAGGATGATTAGGCTTTAATTTTCCCCTTCCTCAAAATGGGTGGTGAGAGACCCACATGTCCCATAGTAGTTTTCCTCTCTTCAAAAATGATTTCCTTAAAACAAAAAAGTAAAAAAGTACATAAAAGATAAAAAAAATAAAATTAAAAATTATCTGCAGCTCGTCTCATTAAATATGTTGCCATCTCAAAATCGAATCTCCAACATCCATTTCAATGGGCAACAAATCTAAGGGAATTGGAGGTCCAATTGAAATCTTATTTTAGAGATGCCACATAAAGAATAGTCTCATTAAATATAAGGGTAAGGCTTGTATGATAAAGGTGAGGCCCTAAACAATCAAAGTAAGGGGGACCTTCAAAAAGTATCAGTTCTAGAAATCTTTGTGATGGCCTGAAAAATTATTTCTATTTTAATTATAAAATTTAAATATTCAAGAATTGTGTAGATTGAGCATATCTATGAACATTTGAAAATCGTGAAAATTGATGGTCTAGAAAATACGTTGCATGATTCACTATTTTCAAGACTTGAAATCTATTTATTTTTTCATGTCCACACATTTTGTAGTCGAGGTGATTGAATTAAGGACTTTTGGCATTCAAACAACTTCTTCTAATGAACTTTTTGAAGTGAGTCTTAATTTGATTATTTAGAATCTCACCCTTATATAAACTTTTTCCTAACAAAACGTTGATTTGGAGTTCCAAAAAAGTTCCGTATAGTTTGCCAACCCAAAGTCAGATCCAAGTCCTCCATTTTGAATTGGCTTGAATTCAAGGAATTTGCAATTTTATGGAGCTCCAAATGAAAATTTATTGGAAGGATCATTATGTGAAGATAATTTGTGATTGTGAGGAAAAGTGAGGAAAAGTAAAGTCTGAAGTTCATGATGACACAATTTTTTTTTTAAATCTCACATCTACGAATTGTGTCCTTCAAATTATCAGCATCATCTCCCTGAAGAATGCGAATTGTGTCCTTCAAATTATCAAGCATCATCTCCCTGAAGAATCCAAGTTTATTGCCCGTAAGGGTGCTTCTTTTTTATGTATTTACCATAGGATGTGGTTTGCATAAGGTTACAACTTTAAAAAATCAAAGTAAGTTTACATTCAAATGATGTCGTAAAATGTAATTTTAACATAAAAAAATATTAGAATGGCCAGATATTATATTTTTTCTCTAATTATAAAATTTTAAACCCCCCAAAAATGGTTCACAAGCAGGCCGATAAACACATGAAAATCTAGAAAATGAATGGTCCAGCTAATGAATTGCATGATGTATTTTTTTTGGGACTTGAAATCTTTTTTTACTTTCCTATATCCATACATCTTGATGTGGAGAAGACCGGTTAGATAATTTTCCAACGTCAAAACAGCCTTTTTCAATGGCCTTTTAAGATGCATCTTAATTCTAAAATATAAGACATCAACCTTACCATCAATTTTTTCCTTTACCATAACTTTCACCTGTGCTTTCGGGGGACTGTAATGGTTGTGCATGTATGTGAATGTGAACATTTGAAAAAATATGTGTGCTAGAGAGAGAGAGAGAGATCTTACAAAGCCATAGCCGGCAGTTCTAAAAGTTGGCCCAGCCATGGTGAATCTGTGATGGTAGTAAGCGAGAAACAGTTTGATTTTTGGAATCTCATCGAAGATCGCAGCAACCCCGCCGCCAGAACTTCCCATCAACAAGGCATTTGCATATTCATCAATGGTGCCACATGCCTTTAGTTTCGATTCCGAGAATCCCAACTTTAACAAGAGATCCTTAACATATGAATTACGTTGGTAGCCCACATAATCACCATTATTAATCAATTTTTGCACGTCTGTAATGGTGGGCTCTGACCTCTCAACTGTAAGAATCGATGCCAAGTTGGCTGTGTAATTGTTGCTAAGTATGAGCAAGACGAATAACCAGAGGATGATTACGAACCGTGACAAATTGTTTTTTATCTGATCACCTGGAGAATACCTTCAAAAAGTTAGAAAATCTAGTTTATTGACTTCATTCCGATCATTTTTTTTAGTGGTAAAATCTGGATTATCTTATATGTAAGTATATGTCAACACTCTTCCTTTGTTTAATTTACCTGTGAAATTTGGCTGATTAAAAATGAATCTTTATTAAATGGTTAGGGTGTTAGGTATCATGATGTCTTGAGTTCCATTTCGTATCATGAGTAAGAGACCTTTTTCCCACTAAACTACCCACCAAAGACAAAAAAAAAACAGATAGCAGCCCAAAAGTTAGACTTAAGTTAGTATATGAAAGTCATGGAATATGCTAGAACAATCATGAAATCAAAGTCTGAGCTTTCGGCAATCCAGCGCACAGTGTGTTTAATTACATTTTTAAAATGTTAGTATTTCTCCACAAGAAGCCTAAATGTATTTTTCTCAGATGGAAATGCTCCAAATCATTAAACAACTTCACTTTCGTCAGTGGGATCCTGAAAACAGTAATGTATCTGAGGTAAGAAATCCTAGTGACAAAGGTCATTTTTCCTTTCTCTTCATGGTGGATAACCGCCTTCTTTTCTCAAAAACCAGAACGAAGATGCACTCTTACACTCAAGTTCTATATGCTAGAAAGTCCCTTCCAAACAAAACTATGAAAACATCATCCAGTTAACTTTTAGATGATCTCTAACTTTCATGTAATAGCATTTATGCCAAAAGAAACTAAAAATAAGGATGAGGACTACATACGATGAGCAAAGACGAGCATCGAAAAGGAGAAATAGAGAGCCCTGCCCACTTGTTCGATCGGTGGCCCTCGAAAGTCCTCATTTATTCTATGCTCCAAAAACCAAATTACAAATGCCATGAAGAAGAAGAAGCATGCAGTTGTTACCCATAGCTCCAAAGTTAAAGGTTTCAAGAACACCAGCGCACTACTTTTCCGAACCTTCTCCGTGGGCACTATCATAGTCACCCCTGACTCGGTGTAAGGGAGTGTGAAGTCGACATGGTTTGATCGATTCGCAAGGATGGTCACATCACCAACCACTGCATCATATTTCTGTTTCCAGACAACCAATATGTGCCCATAAATTAAAAGAATCTATGTTTAATAGAACCAATTAAGTATATTTTACACTGCTTTAAAACCAATTACTACATGTATCACATTAAATAACAAACACCAAGAAAATTATTTGCATGAAAATTCCCTTATAAGTTCAAAGTATGACCTAAAAGAGAAAGCTTAAGCATGAAAATTGAATCAAAGAGAACAAAAATAAAAAAATGTAACAAACTTGAAGATAATAAAGGATGAAGGTCGCTTTTCATAACTGAAATTGAGCAAATTTTCGGGTTATGATATTTTGTCCAAAATCCCTAACAATTAAAGTTTATTATTATTAAAATTTGGGATATTCTAGCTATTTCATATAGTGGAATAAACTAAGGTTTTAGCAAAAAGAGATAATACATTGGACATGAGAAGTTAACTTGGATAGTACCTAACATATGCCAAAGATAAGTGCAAAAGGCCCTATAAAAGATGTGGCATTATTTGACAAAATACACTTAGCTTGCTTATGCAAGCAGATGTAACAGATGAGATTAGTTTCTAAGTTTTGAGCAAGCTCCAATTTCGAATTTTTTACAATTTTTAATGTTTTTGAACTATAATTTATAGTGTCAGATAGACTGTAGGTTTTGGGGTTCAGAACCCCTAGGCCAAACTAAGTTAACCCACAAAAAAATTAATTCGTTTTTATCATATTAAGTCCTACCTAAAAGTACTTTAATATTGTATAACTAAGGAACGATCTTCTTGACAAGGAACCTACATTTTAAGGGCAGGTTTGACCCTGAAAGCCACCTTTGGTGTTTTGTAAATCCCTCTAATGTCATTGATTCCTCTCTCAGACCCAATGAGATCAAAACGGAAAAATATAATGTGATAAATTTGGAAATACGATAAAAAAAAATATGATCATGTGGATTTTTTCCAGACAATCAATATGTGGGATGGTGATAGAGCGAGGGTGCCAATATGTAGATCAATTAATGAATTTTCCGGTATGAAACTCGTCACCATCCAAATCTATTTTCCTCATTGACATGATGTTGTTATGGTCATATGGATCACAATATGCAGTCGCAAGTCACAACTACAGTCCAATATTTGATAAGGTTACCTACACTCTTTAGCATAAATTTGATTTCTACAAGATCATTCCACAAATACTTGATCTCAAAAGGGTTACTTACCCCAAGAAAAACCTGGTTGACTAAATCATTATAGGTTCCTGCCATTATTCCTTCACTATTTTCAAAAGGTACAAACTCATAAGGGAGTGCATAGGGTAAAACCTCCAATACTGCATTGAAAACATCAATAGAAAAACCTGTCACCCTCAGTCTATTGTCACCAGGGTCCCTCTCCACATTAACAAACTCCTTAAAACCATATCTTACAGGAACACCAATTTTTAACTTAACTCCACTAGTGGGGATAACCCAACCTTTAGGTACAACTGTTGATTCTCCTGGCCAGATCACTGGTTTGAGATCAGCCACATCGGCTGAGTAACCGTTCTTCTTATTTAGAATTTCTTGATTTAGATTCGATGAGAGGCCGTATATTGGTGACCAAAACCCAATTTCTCTAATTCCTTGTCCAATGATATTGATTATCTGAAAAGTGGAGACCTGGAGCTCGCCATTAACGAAGCGAATATTGCCAGTTAAGCCCGTGAAGTCGGTGTCTAAGACGGCATTTAAGAGTCTTGAGCCTACAGGAGAAATTCCTAGAGTTGAGAGATCGGTTGAGTTCACTTTTCCGACAATAGGATGAGGGAACCTGACCGCTCTTGTGCCGGATTTCTCAACTGCAAGAGCAAGGGCCCAAGTGGCATCATAGGCTCTTAAACCAAAAACATTTAAATCGGGGATTTCAATTTCATTTGGGTACTCTCCTCTATAAAATAGCTTCCACCTAGTTGTGAAATCGGCCAAACGTTTGGTCTTTTCTATGTATACTTTCACCCCCAAAACCCCTTGCATTGAGGCTATGACAGAAGGGTCAGTGGAATCCAAGAAAGCAGAGAGCCCATCAGTTATAATCCAAGCATACTCTTTGCTCATCATGCCGAGTTGTTGAACCTGTAAAAATAAGCGAGAGGCCAAAGGGGAAGTCGTATGGACTATGAAAATCCGTGTTTGCATAGTCATTAGCTTGTAGAGCTCTCCATTGATTAGCTCATTCGAGGCCGAGGCAGGAAGAACAGTTCTATGTTGAAGGTGAGAGCCAACTTCTAAGAGGGCATCGTTTAAGTACGGAATGAATCCGGCTCCGTATTCTGTGTCTTCATATATGGCTACCGCTTGCCTCCATCCGTAGGCTTTGAAGAGGGCAGCAATTGGTTTGGCTTGCGCCGAATCATTGAGAGCTGCCCTCACAAAGTAACGAGTATCCACGGAGGAGAGAGAAGGAGAAGTTGCAGAGAAAGAGAGAAGGGGGACATGGGATATATTTGCAAGATCAACCGTAAATTTGGCCTCTGCAGATGATTGTGGACCGATTATGGCTTGCACGCCTAAATTCTTCATCAGGTCCACAACTGTGCAACACAAAACCAAAGCACAAAGATTCAACTTGAGTGACAATATGAACCTCTATTTCTAAAATTGAAATAAAAATCCATTTACTTCCGAAATGCCTCTTACCCATCGTACATATGGGTAAAAGTTTTAACGCCCTAAAAATGGTTTACCTTGTGATGCATTATTGGACTTAAAATTTCAAGTTTTCCACGTTCCATTAAACCTTCACCATATTAGATCTTCAAATTCCATATTAAGAGACGTAAATGCATTTCCACACCAACACAGTATTTTGAGGCTTGAGGACCTCAATTTTGAACAAAATTAATTCGTGTGATTGTACCAAATATCATCAGGAATTGTATACTGTGAGGCCCTTTACTTTTATTATAATGATGTCACGATGAATATTAGCAATTAGATGTCAAATTTGATGATTTCAAAAAATTATTATTATTATTTAAAATCTAACAAGCATGAATAATTGTGTCCTTGTACTAAAATTAAATAGTCTCCTTCTATACTTTTCCTTGTCATAAGACCATAACCCACCAAAAATTGCACATATATCCAAGTAAGGTACAAAAAAGATGGTGTGTGCTTTGGATTGTCTTGAATGTGTTGGTACATGTATCTTAGTACCGCATTTGAGAGAGTGTGCGTG